GGGGGGGGGGGGGGGGGGGGGGACAAAGATACTGGATCTTTGTCTAGATTTGTCTAGGCCCAATTGGGATAGCCACAGGTTCTGAGGGCTTCTTTAATGTGTTTTAGTCCTTTTCCCTCTTTGCTGGTAGGTAAACCTTCAGCCCAGTGGTGTAGGATTCTGATGGCTTCCGTGTTTTTGCTCCAGTGAAGGTAAACACTCTGTGGGTTTTCTATATACTTCAATATTGAAGTATGAATCTTGTCCTGATGGGTTTGTTCTCCTAGGTTGTGCCATGCATTTGTGGTTTGTTTTGTTTCTCCAATGTACAGATCTGTACGTCTCACCACATTCTACTGCACATATTGCATTGTTCAGTTTGTGTGTGAGTGTTTTATCCTTGGGGTGGACAAGCTTCTGCCTTAGTGCAGAGTTTCTCAATCTTGGCAACTTTTAAGATGTGTGAACTTCAGCTCCCAGAATTCCTGAGTGAGCATGCTGAGGAATTCTGGGAGCCAGCCCACACATCTTAAAAGTTGTCAAAAGTTTTGAGAAACACTGCCTTAGTGTAGTTTTGGGTTGAAAGTGTGCATGTATGTTAAGTTAGTTGAAAATCCTCCTGAGTTTTTCAGATATTCCTGCAGTGTGGATTAATGTTGCTTTTGTTTGTTGTTCTCTTTGTCCTTACTGGGGTGGGGGGACACAAAGGATCCTACTGGATCTTTTTCTTGATTTGATGAAGGCCCAGTTGGGATGCCACAGGTTCTGAGGGCTGCTTTCATGTATTTTAGTCCTTTTCCCTCTTTGCTGGTAGGTAAACCTTCAGCCCAGTGGTGTAGGATTCTGATGGCTTCCGTGTTTTTGCTCCAGTGAAGGTAAATACTCTGTGGGTTTTCTGTATACTTCAGAATTGAAGTATGAATCTTGTCCTGATGGGTTTGTTCTCCTAGGTTGTGCCATGCGCTTGTGGTTGTTTTGTTCATGAACGCATGGCACAACATAGGAGAACAAGCCCATCAGGACAAGATTCAGCAGTTCATCTGTCTGTGGAGATTCTTAGTCAGCCAGGTCAGTTTGCTCCAAAGGTCCTTTTCCAAGAGGCAACTAGACTTCCTTTGTTTTTTCTTGAAGACTTTCACTTCTCATCCAAGAAGCTTGATGGATGAGAAGCGATCATCTTCAAGGAAAAACAAAGGAAGTCCAGTTGCCTCTTGGAAAAGCACACTTGGAACAGCGGTCCATCTGCATTTGAGAGACGAAGGCCACTCTTGAAGACAGCAAAGTCCATGTTCTGGATGGAGAGGACTCCTGGCTTGAAAGAGGGGTCAAAGAGGCCATCTGTGTTAAAACCGAATAGGCCTCTATCGACAGAG